GCCCCATGTTACTTCTAATACAAACGTGAATATATATAGTATTATTTCGTCAAGACACTTCAAGGAAACGCTCGGCCCCCTACATAGTTATTAAAATATCTAAAAATTATTCCATAATGAAGATACAAATCCTGCATGCTTTTTCCGACTTAAACTAATACACATTCACAGTGGCTAACGTTAAGCCTTGCTAACTAGTTTAATACCGTGACATCAAGCCAAGCCTAACTATTATACACCTTTCTAAATGACAAATGGTTTAAACACTACTTAACTCATTTTCTTCTAACACTTTGGAAGTGTTACAACCACTACTTTCTTCCAAGCACAACGCTGTAACTTATGCACCCATGTACAACTAATACAAATATTCCCAAACACAATCTACACACCTATTCTATGCAAAATACCATTAGAAACATTTCATGTTTTATATGAACACGTTACAATTTATTACACTTTGTGGGATCGACCGCTTTATGAAAACTCTTTACGACGCTTCGACAATAATCTGGCCCAAACATTCTACCATGAAATGCTAAGCACTTTTTTTACGTACACGTTTTTTCAAACACATTTCTTTAAAGCTAACTATGCAAATTTGCCCCAATTAACGCTTGCACACTAACATGCAGTTATGTTACCAGACTACGTTCTTACGTGGAGCCGCCAAAACCTAGCTACACACAAAAACCCACGATTGATTGATGAAGATTAAGCCACCCAAGAGGTGGCACGGGCATGAATAGCCCGTAAGTGGTGGCCCTTTCGAGCCATTACCAGTATCAAAACATGATAATGGAGATCTGTGGAGGCGCAACTGCACCCTGCGTGACGGGAGATGTTTCCCGGACCAAGTGGTGACCAAATGGTGAAAAAAAAACCACCTTTACTTTATACTAAAGACGAAGGTACAACCAATCCCATGCTTCGTACATACTAGTAGAGATAAGACATCCTCCAATTACTGCCTTCACGAAGGCAAGTGTCGCCACTGTTCGTGTCCTCGTTCACCTGCAGCCAATCACAGTATAACCTGCAACATAAATGTTACCGTCACAAATAAATGTCGCTACCTCTGCAATCATGCCTACACCAATACCCTAAATATTTTTAATTAATGCTTAACATTCATTATTCTTACATTTTACATTCTTCAACTGGCTCCATCAGTATTGCAGTAAATATAATGTCTAAACTAATATACCAGTCTCAAAACAAATTTACTACCAGTGAACATTTCAGCTATTTACAACCTCTGCCTTGCGACAACCTTCAAAACAAATAAAAACGCCCCGGGGCGCCCTTATCACTGATTTAGCGACTTGCCTGACTAGTTATACATTTCAACTGAACGAGTACATACTAAACAGCTTTCAAACTAGAGGAACACTACACCTAAATCTGCACATTGAACCCGTTCCGTACCAAAACATGACCTATACCCCACATTTATTCAACGATTACAATTTACTCCTTAACTTTAAATTCTTACTAAACCATTTACTGCCCTTATGCATGGCTGCGAATAACCCCATCATCCTCATAGGGTTACTCCGATAGATAAACTTATTACCCTACACTAAATCATACCCACAATGATATTATAAATACTCACCGCGACATGGCAGTCTGAAGGTGTGAATCTGAAGCAGCTAATACTTTCACCGATGAGTCCTGTGTTGCCTTCATAGCGCACTCCGGGGTCAGTAACGATATCACCAATCAATCACTTCGATTGATTGATTGATTGATTGATAAAGATTAAGCCACCCAAGAGGTGGCACGGGCATGAATAGCCCGTAAGTGGTACATTTTTTTTTTTTTTCTCAGTATTCTGAGGTTGCATTTAACCGTCAAGCTGTTATCGTGGGGGAGGATACTGCTTCACAGTCTTTATGAGGGTGTCCAGCTGCTGGACACCTTTGTTGACCAGGAGAGTGGCTGTGTTGATGGCTTCAGGGTGGCCACTGCATGATTCAGGAACTCTTAAAGCTCTTCTAAGGTCATTGGTTGCTTCACATTCCAGAAGATAGTGAAGTAATGGCTTTTCTGTGACAGTTTGGCAGAAGATGCACTCTCTCTGTCGGGGTTCACCAATCTCCCAGTTGCATCTGTAACCTAGACGTAGTCTATATAGCCTAACTGCTATTTCCCTGTGGATTCCTTTTGGGATATTTAACCTTTCTAATTTGGTTGCCTGAAGATACCATGTTGCAGATGGCGAACCTTCAGCTATTCTCTGGTGCAGGTCGGCTTTGTTGAGATGTGAGAGTTTTTTGGTGATGTTTTTTATGTTCTCTAGGCTGGGTTGAATTGTTTTATGTATCACTGGATGACGAGTTGCCAATTTAGCAATTTCATCAGCTTTTTCATTTAATGGGATTCCAATATGGGATGGGATCCAGTTTAAAGTTATGTTGAGTCCTTTGCCTTTAGCGACTGCTCCAAGATACAAAATGGTGGTAATTATTTCCACATTATCTTTCCACTGTTTTTGTCCTAGTATTTGAAGTGCAGCTTTTGAGTCTGGTGTATGATTGCATTTTGAGTGTTTTGTGCAATCACATATGCGAATGCCTGTTGTATGGCAAACAGCTCAGTTTGGGTTGATACTAGTCCTCCCAATCTCCAATATGCCTGAACGCTGGTCGTGCAAAGAGCAGCGCCAGCACTCATTTTCTGTGTCCACCGATCCGTCTGTGAAGATGTGGGTGGCTCCTGCTACTGCTATGCTATACATTTGCTCTTCTATTATGCGCCTTAGGATTGTCGGATCATAGGCAGCCTTTTTTATTGGGAGACTTTCTCTTACTATTTTGAAAGTAGGCTCTTCCCACGGCGCGGAAGGAGTGTAATTTGGGTGTGGATGATCACCCTCTCTATCAAGAATCATGTTTTTTAAATGTAGTCTGTTTAGGACTTTTCCTGCTCTTGCAACCCAAGAGTTTCCATTGTTTTGGCCTAGTCCAACCACCAAGGCCTGTCGTACTGGGATTGGATCAGAAGAAATAATTATCTTACTGATAATTGTAGCTGTCCTTTGTGATATTCTTTCTTGTCGAGAGGGCAAACCCGTCTCCAGTCTAAGAGTTTCAAGCCTGGTCCACATGGGGGCTCCCAGTGCAGCTCTCATGGCATTGTTTTGGGCAACTTCAAGCTTTTTCCACTGTTGGTGTGATAGATGTGTGAGTGCAGGTGCGGCATAATCGATCACTGATCTGACTGCCTGTACATAGTATGTGCGAAGGACTTGCAGATTGGCTCCTCCAGAAAGGGAGGTTAGCGACCTGAGGATTGCCGTCCGGGCCGCAGTTCGCTCTCTCAAGTATGTAACCTCAGCATTAAAATTCATGTGTGTGCAATCACTTCACGGGCCCCCACATCTTATACCCCGAACGACCTCACGCTGGTTCCAGCAGCCTCACCACACTATAATTAAAGAAAAGCTTATTAACATCACCACATTCAGTACTTAATAAAATTTATACATAAAGATTTTAGTCCTTAATATTTTTCTGGACTAAAAGTCTCTGCGTATATACTCCAAACAACGAGGTATATAACTTCGATAACTAGATATTTTGCCCCCTAGCTAATCCACCTTTGCCGGTGTATACATAGTGTGCCGTAGGGGGTCTGTTGGCCCCAGTGACCCATCAATTTCTAAAACTGGGTGTAGAGCAACAGACCACCAACACCATCATATATACACGACCGTCTTACCGGACGTCTAGGGGCAAAATGGCGGCTTCGCTGCTCCTCCACCAGCAGGTCAACTCAGCACCCAATCACGTCTTCCCTTTTCAATTGACGTCACATTCTCGCTACCTGTATTCTCCGTTCTCATTGGTCGGCTCCCCATAGTTCCATACCCTAGTAATTCATATGACAAGTGTTTCATATAACTTTAAAATATATACACACTAAGCAATTATATCCCGTTTCTCGCTGTATACACATTGAGTTTACTTTACTCATGGACTGTGTTTACGGATAAAAGTATCCCTGCTGCTTCGTAAACTATTGTAGCCATCGACAGGGTAATAAATTAAGCCTAACACCCTTTTTGGAGCTTCTGACAATTTCTTCACTGTATTACGCTACCCGTCCTTATAAATAAATGCTAAATGCTCATTAACCTACCCGCTAAACACACATTTTTACAAAGACAAATATTTGACATTCGACTCACTACTAATGACGTTCGAACACTGTTTCGCTCACCACCTCTCTTCGAACCCCAATGCTGTAAACGTTTCACCTACGTACTTCAAATACATATTATTACCAAGAGAACCTAACCTACGGCTAACTATGCCTATATAATATTCATATTATTTTATAATAAGAACATAACTCATTTTAATACTCGTTACTGTATTATGGATGCGGGAGGAGGACGATGATAGGGAGAATGGCAAATACAACTTGAACACTTATTGTGAGCTAATTTAGGCCTTGTTATGCACCAAATAATAACATAAAATCAATACCCATGACTCCCTCCCCTCCATCACAATCGACATGATATTAGTCCACAACAGACCGAAACGTTTTTCGTTTCGTTTTAAACACAACAAATCAATTATAACATGGACACCAACGGAACACATCAAGTCCAAACACAAAACTACGAAAGTGACACCAACAATTTCCTGCCCGAAACGCTTTGCGTAATAGTGCCTTAATTTTATCTACTATGCATTCTATCTACTAGTTCTATCTATAAATCCATCAACTTTTGTATTGATGGGGAGAACAGCATTGGGCATTATCCCAACCTACCTCCCTCCCTACCTAATCCATCCCTAATCCTTATCCTGACCTCTTCCAAGTGCTATACACACTATTGGCTGGCCGCTTTTCCCCCCCTGATAGTTCCCCTTCCCTTTTTTATTTCACCTTCTATGTATGTACTTTACCTGAATAAATATTTGTATTTGTATACTCCAAAACATATGAGTAACCAAAGAAAATGTACAGACGGACAGCGCCGCAACCGACCGTCCGACGTCATAACAATAACATGCATCGCCACACACTTCATTTCACTACAGCCAACACCACCGCCCACACACGGCCACTGGTGTAGTCGTAGCTAGGAGACACCCGTCACCCTAACTACGCGTATCATAAAGGAGATAATGGCACCCAAGTAGGTACACTGGGTTCGTATCCTGGCCGGGGACGATTTACTGGCCGCCAATACTTAACTGTAGCCTATGTTTACCCCATCAGTAAAATGGGTACCTGCTTGTTATAAAATTTTGTGGGTCGTATTCCGGGGATTATTAGGATTAAGGACTTTGCCCGAAACGCTGTGTTAATGGCTGTACAAGAATGTAAAAACACTTGTATAAATAAACATTAATATTTTTATTTACTGCAATAATTTTCAATGGCTAGGTATTTAGTACTATTCATATCTGTGTACACATTTTTTTGTATGTTAGTGTATGATTGATAGGAAGGGTTATCTTTTTCCTATAGTACATTTCCTATACACTACCACTATTGTCAAAAAAAATAATTTCCTTGGCCCTATTCTGTAAATTTGTCTAGGTAAGGGACCTTTAGTAAATACCCTGAAGTTTAATTTTCAATATTTCTTTTCTACAGACTTGATGGAGTAGAGGTATTGAGAATTGTTCTACCAGGAGATGAAGTTTTGCAGTTTAACCCTGATGAACAATGCATCTTTATAGGACCAGGGCTTCGCTGGCAAGAAAATGTTATTTGTGCAACGCGTTCAGGTGTCCTGAAGAAAACTAGTAAGAATTTGTACTATGTAGACACTCGTCAAAAACGCTACATTCCTCACAAAAAGGAATTTGTTGTTGGTACAGTCCAGAAGAAAATGGGGAACAATTATATTATTGACATAGGTGGAACTGAACAGGCAACTATATCAGACTTGGTTTTTGAAAATGTCTCTAAAAAGACTGGAAAAAAAATGAAACCTGGAGACCTCATCTTTGGACAGTTACTTGTAGCAAACAAGGACATGGAACCTGAACTAGTGTGTATTGATGTATTTAATAGTTCAGTAGGAATAGGATCACTTCCAGATGGTGGTATTGTATTTACTCTTCCTTTACATGTCGCTCGTTTGATTGCAAATCCACAAAATTCACTGTTATTGATTATTGCTCGGAGGCTCAAATATACAATATTGGTTGGCTTTAATGGCAGAGTGTGGCTGAAGGCTCGAAGGCAGAGGGAGATGGTTGCTATAATGAACTGCCTTAAAATGTTGGAAGTAATGACACCGGAGGAAGTTGAGGCGAATGTTCATAGGTTCCTTGATTCTTTGCTACTGCACTAGTCATATATGATTAGATTATTTTTACAAAGCTCGTACCACTGAAATAGATAATTATATATATACAGTACTTTGGTAGAATTCTTAGTTTAAGAACTTTGTTTTCTGAGGCTCTTCCAAACTGTTGCTGTGAACTAGTACTGTATTTATTTGTAGAATATAAATAAATGATCAAAAATGAGTTTTTTTTTTTTTTTTTTTTTTTATGTATTGTCCAATGTATATTTGTTCCTATTCTTTCTTGAATATTGAACATAATCTCAAGGTCTCAATATAATGACATGACAAAATCCACCCCTCCCCTCCCCTCCCCACTTCACCTAGGAACCTCAACTTATTTAACACTCTACTCTACATCAGTGTTTTATTCACACAACCCACACATCCTCTTTCTGCCTTTAGTTTTTTTCACCACTAAGCTCAATAATGCAAGTTTATATAACTTGTGAACATCACTTGTGTGTAATATATATTACTCATGATTATATTATGTGGGGTACCACCTCCAATGTTTCTAAGGACCCTCACCCTCAAAGAGGAGGATATGCAGCATCTGGGGAGCCTTGCACATATTCTTTTCCTACCATCCCAATATATATATTGTTGTATATTTCACTTTAAAGTTTATTGTCATATTTACAAACTTGGTTACATACAAGATGCAAAGTTATTTGTTGCAGAATATCAAGCTCCTCACATGGGAGGCAGGAACCCTGAATGTACTGTGCATTCCCTGTGGCAATCTTCTCCCAGGTGCCAAATGTCTGAGGCAATGGGGGACAAAATAGTTAATAGTAGTGGTCATAAACTACTCTGTACTTAAAGGGCCTGCCTGATTCTCTTAAGTAGCAGCACCTCGGGGTTGCTAACAGGAAGTCGTCTGCATGTGGGGCTGTGAGGCAAGCAATGTTGTGTTGTTGAATCATCTACGTCTACATGAGGCCAACCAAGTTGGATTACTTACCGTGATTGGGGTACTGGGCCTGTACGAGAGTCCACTCGGTGCCACACTGAATAAATTTGCGATTGTGTGCCCTGGCAAGTTGACGGTAATAAAGTAGATTTTTCTTCCTTAGGTTGTCACATTCCAAGGAAGAGGACAGGAATGTTTGTATAGTGATTTGCACTGAACCTGGATGGGGTTCTGAGATTTCGTGAACTTGATTTGTTCGTTTCAGTTCTACAGTGCTACATCAAGCTTGGAGTGGCCCACAGGCCCACGTATTCACCACAGCCCAGTTTGTCCGGCACTTTCAAAAAGAAAAATATCCAGTTTTCTCTACAAGACTTCCACGTTCATTTCAACTATTTATGATCACTGGGAGAATGTTTAACAGCCATACCTCTTATATTTATACAATGTTCTTTGATTATGGCTATGGCATTACTGGTATGGCCAATCAATCCTTGGATAAACTCTAATAATCTCAGTAGCAATGTCATTATCTGGTGATGTTTGGTGACATCTGGGGCCGAGTGGTGGCAAAAATGTGATGAAGATAGTATACTGTACAGTGATGATACAAGATGAGAGATGAAATGAGGAACAAAGGTACCGCTGTGTACCCTTACGTAAGTAAATACCTTCTGCCATCTACAGGGTGAAGAAACACACAAATCACTAGTCTTAACATTTTACTTTGACATTTCATCACTTTGCTTTACTTTGACATAATATCTTCAGGAATTTACACAAGGCAGAAAGGGCCACAAGTCCTTTGTGCTACGTGTATATTCCTGAAGATGTTATGTTTTGTAAATTGTGAAAATAAAATGGACAACTAAATTATTTAGTGCTTCTTCACCCTCTGGATGGCAAAGCTAGTTATGTTTCAAATTTATGTGCCAAATGTTTCACAGTTGATTCCATGACAATTGCATGTGAAGGGGGTATATATAAATGCAATGATTTCTTTAAAGCATTTAAATTAGCCCTACACCAATCAGCCTACATTTGTCCCGTACCACAGAACATTCCCCAACAAAGTTCAATATACTGTGTATATACAGCATATAGACACACAACATACCATGTGTGTCTCCATCCAAAGTTGGAGCCCAAACACTTGGGGGCCAGAATTACTTCAAGTTACACCACTAGGGTCAACACCACTAGCGGCCTCAACAGGGACAGTAAGCCAGCAGTTTGTCAAAAATGTTTAATATTCCTGAGGTGTTTCTTCTGATTATTAATAGAAGCATATTCTATGGCATTTGATGGTTTGCCTGGCATGAGATTCCATGAATGTATTACTCTTTGGGTGAAAAAAGCATATCCTATTGTGGCTTGATGAAGCTGTTGCTCCCTGTGAGAGTTATATAATGTACCTTATATGGTGTGGATTATATTTTTTTTAATTTCTTTAGCTTTTATTTTTTTTTAAAGATCTCGGTGACATTGGCCCTGTTGTGTTGGTTCTTTTAGTATTGTTAATCCTGAGAACCTCACTTTTTCCTTGTATGAGATTCAACTTCTGTGATGATTTTGGTTGCTTCTTATTTAGTTTTTTGTTTTTCCAAAGACATTATCTCCTTTTCAAGGTGACATCTCCATGCTTAGGTACAGGAGTTCAAATGGAGGCATACCACAGATGCCTGAATACTCTTTATTTTCCTTTAAACCAAATGTTCATTTCATTATTATTCCTATACTGTACTTTGGTAGACTTTCTTCTACTGCAGCTCCTACTTCCTGAGCAGCTTAACTAGTGGATCATATTTTCTTGGTCATTTCCAAACTCGGGAAGCTAAACTATAAGTTGCTGTCAACCTTGTGCATAGATTGTTCCAAAATTTTTCAACCTTCCATGTTTATTTTATTCATATTCTGTATACAAGTGTTCTTACATTCCTGTACAGCCACTGGCACACATTGTGTTTCAGGCAAGTCTTTAACTCCTGCACTGCACACCTGTTTGTGGCAAAAACTTCATAGTGCAATTGTTAAGGAAATATTTGTATTGTTTTTATAAATGTTCAAGTAAAGCTAATATCAAAATGTTTCCATACTCAACTATTTTCAGTTTCAAAACACAAAGGCTGATGAAAACATTACAAAACATTAAACTATAGCCTAATTCAAAAAACAAACAATTCCACAACTCTCAAAACAACATTTGTTGTTTGGCGCAGTACAGTGGTTAATCCTATATTTCCCAGAATACAACCCACCAAATCGTTTAACAACGAGGTACCCATTTTACTGTTGGGTAAACACTGGCTACAGTTAAGGAGTGACGCCCAGTAAATCCTCCCCGGCCAGGATTCCAACCTCAGGATAAAGCACTCTCAAAACGCCAGGCGAGTGTCTTACTACTACACCATGCAGCCCCTCCTCCAAATAAAGACCCAAAAGTGATTCCGTGCACTCGCCAAACCCCCTGTTTATGAGTGAAAAACGGTTTACACACGACTTACAACTGCTGACATTCAAACACTTCCAGAACAAGTACTTCACTGACGAATTTTGTTCAAACCACGTTATCAATGCTTCACACACGTACTTAAATAAAAATATTCGCCAACTGAACCTAAACACCTAACCTAACCTATCCTATGCCTATATATGCACAATTTACTATTATAATATTAATTTATATTGGATAACATTCCTGTTTTGACTGAACAGCATGTAAATATTTATGAATGTCTCAGTGGGGTCGATCTCTGGATATAATGGACTTGAGTCGAGGACGGGTTGCACCACGGCCACTGCAAATGTGGTGATGGGGTGTTAATGTTAAAGATGCACTATTTTCACTAATGTTATGAAAACAAAAATCTAGCCCAACACACAAGATTTCTCCTTCGCCCTAATTAATATTAAGAGTTATCAACAACTTTATTATTTCTTTAAGCCGAGTTCAGTGGTGAACATTCAGATGTGTACACTGCACACAAATAGATGAGATTAAGTTCTAGAAAATGAAGTTACATACATGTCAAGGGGGACAGATTGAGGTATTAAAGGTATATAACTTAAAATCATGTTAGTTTACCTGTAATAAGTTGATAGATGTTAATCTTCTTGTTTGAGGAGCTGTTCACTTGAGACAGTTAAGCAAGTCCCAGCTGTGTCTGGGTACAAGTAACAGGATGAACAACCCAGCGAGTTTTCTTCCTATTGGGGAGTGTTGTACATGCTGCTATGGCAGTGTGTCCACTCACAAGATGAGTGGCGCTACCCAATAAACTCGCCCCTCAGGGCAAAATTAAACAAAATTTAAATTTAAAAGTTTCCAGATTTCTTCTACTCGTCAATGTCGGCCTATTGAATTCTTGTTATTCAGAGATTGAGGCTATAGGCCCAGAACTGGAACATGTATATGTTTACCAATATGTATGCATGTTCATATTTTTCAGGTAATTTATTCTCTTACTTTTGTTTTTAACAAAATATCACATAATTCTTTAACATTTTGTTTTGCATTATATTACTTTCTTCTTGCCAGTATGTATTTTTGCATGTCAAGACATGTTCAATCTTACAGGACCAGACATGTTCCACATACTACAGCCAGTTTACCTTCTAGTATGAATCCATCAGGGCTATGTGATCCAGTTGCAATCTTGCCGGTATTCACTTGTTTGTTGAGTTAGGTTAGCAAAGACCAATAACATATGCATAGATAAACAAATTTGACTGTCAAAGATAACAAGAAACCTGATCTTTCATGTTTTATTCTGCTCCTCATAATTTAGTTTGAAGCTTGTATCTTGCCTGCCTCCAGACTAAATGAGATGAATGACTGAAGTGAAGTAAACACACAGTTGCAACTCATATACTGTACATATACAGAACCTCTTGCATAATGGCGTATAATGCTTGAATGTAAAGTGGGAATTGAAGCTTATATCATTTATTTGTATTCTCCTGTATGCAAAACTACCGGTACTTGGGATAATTTCTGTGATACAGTAGTTCTCTCTTGTAAAGAATACCTGATAAATATATTTCAAACTAAGCTATTCCTTTAACAGCACATTGTAAAAACAAAGCCACATAAGTACTTGTTTTGATCATTTATTGAGGATGAGAACATAGACAGCATAATTATTGATACATGTTCCATCTACATTTGGTCTACTCTAGTATACTAACTCTATCGCAGCCACCAGTGCACCACAGCCTGCCTGAGTGAGACTTGGGTCCTCGGTGAGATTCACTTTAAATTATAGATTTTTAAGCTATGAATAACAATCTGGTTGTGTTTAAATAGAGTAAAAATCTATAGGCATCTGGCAACTTTGATTATCTGGTAACTCAGTGGAGAGACCCAAAATGTTGGCACAATAACATGCAACAGTTAACAAGAAAACATTCTGTATGTGGTACAAGGTAGTTTACACAGTTCCAGGGATTTCCAATATTGCTAGAACTCCAAGATATCTACAGAAAATCTGCTAAATTGTAAGTCTCTGAAACTGTCAAACTCACCTATAAGGGACACTCAGATCCAAGGCTGTGAGGCACTCCTGGCTGCTGGTACCATATCCTCCATACCATTACCTTGCCAGTACCTGTCCATGACCAGCCTCTTAGCCACAGTCCTTTTTTGGGGGGGGAGGGTACCTGGTTGGGGCTCCGCAGACCACAGTGTGGGGGCCGTGCGGGACTATTGTACAGGGCCGGTCCACAAACGCGTGACAAGTCCTACTATATTGAACCTAGTTTTAATTGCAATCAAACTTATTTTTCTATTCATAATAGAAAGAAGATAAGTTTCATTGAAACTTATTTAAGGTTCAAGTTTTTCATAATTGTCACATGTGCTACAAGAATTCTGTATGAATAACATTATCAGTGTTAAGGCGTCCTTAGGAGAGCACTGAATCTGACATTCTCACAAAGTTCTTTGCTATTGTGGACTACCGCAATATGGTAGAAACGAACAGCGGAGTGTCTGACAAACTGCACAAACAATTTTATATATTATTGCATCTAAACAGAACATAATTATCAGCAAAGGGAAAAAGAGCATATCTATCGGCACATTGATTATAATCATTATTCATAATGGTGATGCAATCAACATCATGAACCTAGCAGAGGGTTACCACGAGTCATTTCCCCCGTGTTACTAAATAGGAAACTAGACGTCGTGGTAACCCTTCTTAAGACTCATCATTGTTCACTCCCTCACGATAATAACTGTTGGCTACCTTAAAGATAAAGTATGTACAAGCATGAGACTTTATCAACTATTCAATAACACTGCCATCATCATATCTCTTTGCCTTGAATCAAGTTCCAACTTTGTCGTCTATGGTCAGATAAGGGTGTATTGGAGCGGAGTCGAGGAATTAGGTAAGGTCAAATAAGACAGTCAGCCTCATCACAGAAACCCCTTAATGTTAAACACACCGTAAACTTAAATACTGTAGTACCATTTCTTAATTAGTAAATAGTGTGTTTCTGTGACAGTAGAGTAGGGAGCATAACAAAACCTATCTTTAATATTAAGTGACACTTAGAACATAGTTCTAATTATATTGACATTTTATTTTTATCCCCTACATACTTTTAGGTTTACACCCCTTATATTAATACAAGCATATAAAACAAAATGAAGACATTGGCTTCATCTTAATTACAACCTTCAGCTACATAATGCACGTGAAACAAATTTCTCAAATGAAATACAGTACAGTATACCACAGATATATGCATAGAAAATACTCGTTCTAATGTCACAAAAATACATCTGGCCTAAGGCAATGGGATGAGTCGTGAGTCACATAATGGGGTCTCTGCAACAGACACATGACTAGGTTTCAAGATAGAAAAACGAATACAAGATATTCAAGTAGGAAAGAGACAGACAGAAAGATTTAAAGATATCTCAACTAAGCCTGCGGGGTGTAAAGAGGAGTGCCACTATAACTTAAGACTGAGGGTGGTATTTAATTTGTACTTTATAATCCAGCGTCACGACTTATCCAACACTCAAGCGTTTAATTACTTACTACATTAGGGCACCAGGAAGGAAGGCAACAGTGGCAATGTATGTATGACCAGATGTGCAACTTCGGGCGAAATGTAATATCTCGATGAGTTCTATAGACATGAGAAAGAAAGACATCTCACAGCTGCTACCCCTGTCAAATATCGACAGTGATTTTTCGGCATTTTTTTCACAGTTTTGGACATCTTTTATACAACTTTGGACATCAAAACACCACAGTGAAATGCCCACACAAGAACATTCTAGTCAACCTAGAGATCACAATGCCACTTTAAAAACGTAGTAGGATGAAAAATACATGACGTCCTCAACAGAGCTCATTCCAGTGGGTCCACCCCAACCCCTCTCTACATCCCGCCTCATAGGTACTGCTACAAAACAATACTTCACTTTTGCCTTCAATAAAAGTATCAAAATGCATGTAAAAATACAAAAAGATTCTCGAGCATAGTTTTTCATTCTCCTTTTGCATGTAGCACAGGGGTAATATCCAAAAATTACAGCATTTTTTTGTTATTTCTAAAGGGTGATTATGAACTAGTGCACCTCAATTGTCAAGAATAATCAATAGGAAAAGTAAAGGAAGGAGGAGACTGCACAAAAGTTATTTGTACAAGAGATGGCGATAGTAAGGCGACAGAGGCAAATGTAGCCAAGTCAAGACTCCAGCATTAGTCCTGTGAGAAGGTAACAACAGAAACATGACCACGTGTTGCACAAGCATCCACGAGTCATTCGGGTAAAACACCTCCCCACTGAATTTGAAAGAAAACAAATATATATATGTATAGAGAGAGAGAAAGAGAGAGAAATAAGTTTTGAATTCAGCCACAGATAATGTAACAAAACTAAGATGGCAGATCTGAAATAACTACAGAAAAGCCTCAAATGAACTCTACTGCTGGAAGACTCCATGTCTTGGCTACACTCATGTGGAGGGTTTCATTCAAATTATGCCCACTGGCAACTTAGTCTAGAATGTTACTTGGTAAAGGCCCAAATATATCATGCTCTCATTGCCACTGCTCTTTAGTGCAATAACCAATTTATAAGCACATTTCTGAAAATATGCATATAAGAGTGCATTGTATCAGTATTGTGCAACAAAGCATGATGTAAAAGGGCCTAAATCGCCCTTCTGATACTATAGCTTTGGGCTGGGGAGATGTGCTCACAACTGCTTTATGGCTTTTTGAGATTAGATGTGAGAATCTGAATGGGTGTACTTTGTATGTACTGTACTTGGTGATCATGTCCTTAAAACAATAACATCAAGACCTTCCTTTTGGCCAAAAATATGTTAGTAATTATCCTAAGAAAAATAAAGTACATGGCTAAATTTCTTAAAAATGCCTTGCATAGACTAGTAATCATCTTGGCTTAAAGTGATGCATTAAAAAAAATTAATAATAATAATAATAATAATAATAATAAAAAATATAAATGGAGAATATTTGAGCAATATTCTGATTATTCCCCACACCATTCAGAGAACACTTCTGAGTATTAAACATCACCAGAAATATGCAGACATCCTTATGTCTGTTAATGTCGGGTATAACATTTTCAATTTTTAAACATCTTTGTATTTCCTCAAAATTCAATTATCAGAACTATGGAAACTCTTAGATTAAAAAAAAAATTAAACTAAACAGTCTGCATACTATTTACAAGGAAAATGATAAATAAGCCATCTAAGAAGCAACACCTGTGGTAACACTACCTTACAACTATACAACTGATTCATCAATAAAAATTAGAATTGTCACCAAAAGTTCTACAAAGACATCTTTCACTCACATGAGATCATTACACAAGTAATGGCTTGTGATATGGCAAAAGGTTACATACTGTACAGTCATAGTATCTCTCTCCAAAGGACAACTGGCATTTACTTCAGTCACAATAAATAAATATCGACTAGTGCTATATCTGAACAGAAAGTAAGTTTTCACTTTTTTGTGACCAGTTACACCGCAGCTACCACATTTTGAGCTAATATAGCCAGCTCACAGCCAAACACTAAAGTTACACAGCATTTGAGAAGTAACATAGTAACAGCAAGAATTGAGAATAACAAGATTCAGGAATTTCAGTACCACACTCTTAACTTCCTGGCCATTCACTGTAGGGTCCTGTCACTCTAAAAGTGGGAGCATATCTCATCTCTGACCAGGTGGAGGTTGGGTGGGCAGAAGGTGCTCTTGGTGTCAGAGGATTATAACTACCATTAACATTGTTGAAGTTGGGAAGAGGGGTTCCTTGTGGTATAGAGCCATGGGGACCGGGGCTATATGGAGGTGTTAAACCATAGGAGGCTTGGGAACTTTGGTTAGTGTATACTTGATTCTGACCTAACATGGATGTATTGTGAGGATTTCCATGAGGGCTTGGCATCGATGAACTGTGATGATTTGCATGAGGACTTGGCAAAGGTGTATTATGGGGGCTTGGCATTGGAGTACTGTGCGAATTTGAATAGGGACTTTGCATAGGAGTATTGTGGGGATTTGCATGGGGACTTTGCATGGGTGTACTGTGAGGATTCGAATGAGGGCTTGGCATGGGAGTGCTATGGGAATTTGCATGGGGACTCGACATGGGCGAATTAAGATGATTTCCATGTGGACTTAGCAAAGAATTATTGTGAGGACTATGAACAGAGTTTCCGTGAGGACTGTGCATTGGATTACCAAGGGGACTAAGCATTGGATTAACATGGGGGCTTTGCAAAGAATTTACATGTGGACTATTCATTGGTGTGCCATATGGACTATGCACTGCATTTCCATGAGGACTCTGCATTGGATTATGAATTGGGCTACTCATGGGATTGAGAGGATGATTTGAGCTATTTTGAGAGCTTGAAATTGGAATTACATTATTAATGGGGCTACTTTGATGAGAATACTGATTGGGAAAACTGCGATGTTGTTGGTGACAAAAAGACTGGTAGGAATCAGGACCTGGATTAGGCACACAATTATAAGGATTGAATTCTTGTAAAGCGACATTGAAGGGAGGGCGGCGATGTTCTCCGTTATGGTTTCCGTGCATGTTTAAAGCCCCAGTGTAGTTGTGGTCTGGGGATGGTTGAGGTTTCTGAAGCTGGGAATTTAAGGTTGGAGATGAGGAAGTAAGTACATGAGGGGGATGTGAGGCCATAGAATATGTTGGCGTATGAGAGAGACCAAATTTTTGAGGAGGACTGAAAGCTCTACAGTTTTCCATGGCAGATGGAAGAGACTTATGATAGTTAGCATAGCTTACTGGAGGAGATTTCAGATCTGGGTGATTAGGAAGCCTCATATCTGAAGGTGGACAGACAGTTGCCGATTTTGAGTCGAGCTGATGACCTTCTAGATGCCCAACTCTACTCCTCCCACTATGTCCTTCGTTTGAAATAGCACTTAACTTTGGCTCCTCTTTAATTTGGGACACATTGTTCATTCTTTGCATATCAGACTCCAACACTGCATTACACTCGTCTGGAAAAACGAAACCCTCTTTCATCATTTTCTTTTTTTTCCGTGGAGAAGGCTTCAGTTTCCCTTCTTTAATTAATCTTTCCTCTTCACTTCTTTTCTTTTCCATCTTTTCCTCAAACCTCGCCCATCCATGATTTCTATAAATTAGGTTCTTGTGCTGATAAAACACAAGACTAATTCTCTTTGGATCACGTCTGTTTGGGTTCTTTAGTGCAGTTGTGGCATGCAGTTCGTGTTTGGCACATTCGAATAGCACCGAACCATGGACCAGAGCAATAGATACACCTCCAATATCTGGATCGTGGAAATTCTCAACATTGTCACTCTGTTTGATTACTGTTTCTGGTTCTCTGGGTTTATTACACTGTTGATCACTTCTACTGGGGTTTTCATCACTGGATAAATTGGGAAAAGGGTTATTGTATAACCTGTCTTGATGGAAAGGCATGACTTCTTGCATATTTGGTCCCCTACTAAATTGATTTGTACTTCTGTAGTGCATTTGCAGAGCTGGATCAACACCATTTTGCATCACATGTGACAAACTGCATGCAGCGGAGGGAGTATTTTGTGGAAGTTGAGAGGAATGGGAATATTGTTCATTTTGAATTTTATTATAATTGTGGCATTGATTTTCTATTGCATTTGTACATTGTTGTTGACTATTGATAGAGTGAGAGAACTGGGGGTTGGCAGCCCCCTGGCCATGGGGGTTTGGAGATGATAGTGGAGTGAGTGGTGTGCTGATGGAACAAGCTTGCCCAAAAGGAGATGGATGTGGAGTTGTAACTCCAGCAGGCCCTCCTAGAGGAGAAGCTATTAATGACTGACAACTATGTGGTGATTGTGTGCACTGGGACTGAGTTGCTGATTCTGTAGTTGAGGAAGGAACGGGTGATGAGCAGGGACTTGCTGAACGTGGAGCACATGGCGGTGTCAATGATTTGAGATGTGGTGATGGGAGTGGAGATGAACATGGACTTGCAGATGGATGATTTGATGGAGTAATGGATCTTGCAGTAGGTGAACCTAGAGGAGAAGGGCATGGACTAGATGAATGAGGAACTGAAAGAATGGCTGGAGAAGGGAGAGGAGATGCACTTGGGCTCATTGATTGTGGAGGCAAAGGTGTAGTAGATGACGATGATAGAGGAGAATTAAAACATTGTGGTGAGTATGGTCTCTTAGGAGCAGGGGACTGGGGAGGAGGCATTGAGTGAGAGTAGTGAGGACTACCTTGTACTGTAGGGGAGGCACCAGGGCCAACTACTGCTTTGGGTGAACTTCCTATGTGACTAGTAGGAGGGTCACCTGAGCCTATATGAGATTCAGATAATGTTGAAGCTTGGCAAGGGGCTTTCTGTCTTTGGCTTAATTGGCCTTCTGGGGCTGCCAGACACTCAGGTCCTTTCACACTATCATGGTGATTACTGTCAGCTAATTGTTGATTGGAAGATGCTACATCATCACTGCTTGTACTATCATCTTTACATGAAATTATCTGGTCTAAATTACAAGAAAGTCCAAGATCATTATCTGGTCCAACGTCTAATAACCAACTATAATCAGAACCATCGAGTCCATAATTGCTCAGTACGTCATTTGGATCACTAAAATCAATACCATTTAGCATAAAGTCTAAATCAAGCCCAACAGAATCACCGAAGTCTACACTTTGAATTGTGGGGCTGCTCATCCCATCTATTACTCTTCCTCGGCCAATGGCCAAACCTCTTGCTTTTCCTCTTCCTCTACCCCTTAATCGTTTAGGCAGAGGCAAACCTCTCGCAAGAAGAGTTCTTGCACGACAAGAGAGAAGTGGCTCGGTTCTTAGACGAATTTCACAGGGATATCTGGAAGAGAACATTAAGATTAGTTTTAAATGGCACTGTGAAGATGTTATACAAGTACAGTAATTCAAATTACAGTATGTTTTACTTATTCTATCCTTAAGACCACGGCAGGTTTCTTAAAACTGTAAATAATATCCACAACTTACTTGGTGAGCACCTCGAGAGCACCTGACTGGACTTTATGATGATAACTATCATAAGATCCAGACTCATCAGTGGGGTCAATTATGTACAAAGGTAACACATGGAGCTGCTCATCATCTGGTTTGACAAATCCTCTGTGCTTTGTTAGGGTAGCTACAACTGTACAGCCATTGTTCATGTTGTGATTATCTTTATGAGCATGGGCACAGAAATCTGTACATGCTGTTACCCCGGCCCATGGACGGCCACTGCTGTACCCAAGGCGACACTCCAAACTCTCAGACTCAAAAGCCGTCTGATTTCTATAAGCTTGTGGAGCATACTGCTTGTAAACCGGTGCTAAAATTGTGGCTAAGCTCTGTAACTTGTGCTCTATCTCACTTTCCTGGAAAAAAAGAAATAGTAAAATTAGTACATGATGTAAACAATAAACAGCTTAAATTGAAAGAGATCTAATTTAAATATATTATAACAAGTACACGACTTCAAAACAGTGTATCTTATATTACAGTTTGTATTATAGTTTAATAAAGCTTGACAATGATGTAAAGTAAATCATTGATATTGTATTTATGATTCCTGGTTTATGAAAGATTATTTTTATATTTAACAATGGGTGGGACCTTTGACAGGTAATACGCCTTGGGTAAATTCAGGTAAAATGCCATGCAGGTTTAAATTTACTCTAACTTTTAAATAGAGGTGACATTTCCCCTTTCTTTGATTTTTTGTTGTGTTTAAATTGTACACTTTATTATACAAGGTTACACTGATGATTGGTAACAAAGTGTTACAGACTATGTCTTTAACATATATAATGCTGTCAAGTATGGGTTCTTTGTTTTGCTGGCTATTTTTAATTAACTTTTGTATTTTAGATCTGCTGATCAATGAGACATATTTGAAACCTCATGAATGTAAATTAAACAAAGTAAGGATTTTTTTTTACCAACATGTTTGCTATGTCAATTGTTGTATTTATTATGAAATTATCTACATGTTCTGTAGTACAAATAACATTATTGACAGGCTATTCTATCATTGCTCTTAAACACTGCACTGCGCAAAGTGCCTTTAGGCGCTCTGAGATTTGTGCTTTTTGTTTTTTAATTAGGCTATATTTTAATATTTTTAAATGTTTTCATTACTCTTTCCGTTTTGAAATGGAAATAGTTGACTTTGGAAACATTTTGCCATTAACTTTACCTGAACAATTATAAAAATAACAGAAATATATCCTTGAGAATTGCACCAAGACATTTTTGCCGAAAATGGGTGAGCAGTGCAGGGGTTAAACAAGTGTCTCATTTGTTTCAGTGAGATGGATACCATCTCACATAGGTGTTGTCCGGCATGAAGACACAGCCATGGTAGCTGAAACTGCATGTGATAATCCTGAACATGAGTTAGATATGGGCATTCCCATCTCTGCTGTCAGAAAAGAAGTTCTTTATGCTCTATATAGTTCTAATACTCCAATCACTGTCACTCTGCCAGATAGCAGAAGTATTTTAAAAAAACAAAAACCTATGATATGTATGTGCAGCATAAAACATTGACTGACAGTGTAATTCCCAGAATTAGGCAGAGATATTGATATGGCAAGTATGAATCCCCCAATGGTAAACTAGTGTTGGAGAGTATGTCATATCTGTGATTGCCCTGTTATCAGTGAATTCTGGCCAAATGGGATGAGATAATTTTGAACTTTGTATACTTCACACTCATGAATATTATAGCAAGATATTCAAGCACTCTACCCAGATGTTAGTGGAAACTAATTGATCAGCCTCGCATTTCATGTTCTCTCCTGATTTCATGTATGACTAACCATCCTGTGAGATGGGGATATTTGACGAACTTATAGCAAATTTATCATTTACCCTTCATATAGAATAGCAGCACACTGCATACCTATGCTTAATAATAACATACAAAATTATAATTCATAAAAAATGCACAACTTCATTTTAATTCAATAGTTTAATGAGTAAGGTATAAAGCAAGAACACTAGTTTCTTTACTATAAGAATAAATCATTCTTAATATCAAGGCTATTATGCTTAGTACAAGTGAATTATTTGTCTGCATCTTCATGGTTTGTTCAGACAGACATTATTTTTCTCGTTACAATTTCTATTTAGGTTCAATAAACTGGAAGGTAAGATCTCAAGCTGCCCTGCTTTACCAAAGCAGCAAACACTATTTTACTGTTTAATTTACAGTAAATTTATTTGTTTCTCCCACATATAGATCATGACACGTTTATTTTAAATCTATCCACATATTAGGATACAACTGCAGTTATCTATAACAGATGCCATCAATGACATAACCTCTCCCACTTTACCATAGGAGTGCCACAAGGGGTGGCATCTTAGGAACTATCTTATTTCTTAGACAATTCACAAGTCATTGATGTACAGTATATATTATTACACATACTATTTGCTGACAATTCTACCTTCAATTGTTCAAATCCTAACCCCCTATGCTCTTAATTTGTTATTTTACAATATTATTTAAAGTCACATTAAACACAGAAAAGATCTACTACACTATATTTGCGAGCAAATCATCAAACCTAATTCACCTTTCAATACACAATGTGTAATGAAAGATGAATTAATAAACAAATGAGGGAAAGTGTCTTGGCCTGTATGTAGACGAGACTTGACTTCACTACTCACATACCCGCCCCCCCCCATCCCCAGTAGTCAATTGTTTTTTGTTTTTGTTTTTATATATACAAGAGTTGTTACATTCTTGTACAGCCACTAGTAAGCGTAGCATTTCGGGCAGGTCCCTGGAATACGACCCCCGCCGCGAAGATTTATTTTTACAAGCAAGTACACATTTTACTGTTGAGTTAAACAGAGGCTACAGTTAAGGATTTGCACCCAGTAAATCCTTCCTGGCCAGGATACGAACCCATGACAAAGCACTCGCGGAACACCAGGCGAGTGTCTTACCACTGCACCACAGAGACTGGTAAATTATGCTGAAATTTATGCTGAATCCATATTGTTGAATATACCTATAAGGACCTGCCACCTAAACGGTTGTGTTAGTAGCTGTGGAAGATTATCACTCAAATCACCAATGTATGTACTCTCACTCTATGTATTTGTACATAAATAAAAAATACATTGCAACTTCAGGCATTACTATGAAGTTTGAGTCATTTCCTGGATACATACCTCCTGCTCATCTGTAAGCTTGAACTTTCTAGCAATTTTACTGCGTGCATATTTACACATGTTATAGTACATGGACCACGAGCAACCAAAACTAAAGGAGGCTCCACACGTTTCCGAGTCTAATCCTTGACAGATACAGGTGCGCTCGTCATTAACACCGCATCTGTTGAAAAAAATAACAATTAGATAGGTAACATTACATTTAAGCACATTTTATACATCGATGTTATAATAGTAAATGGTGAAATGTAAATCACATGGGTATGTACCGGTGTGGTATGTCAAGAGTTCTAATTGCAATGTAAATATAATGCTGATTTGACTAAGAGTAATATTTAAATATGGTATGGAGATTATGATGGATGACACAAATTAAGTAATAGGTGAACTGCAATGATTTAAGGTGATCTGCACACAACCAACAAATTGGATTAGAAAATAGAAGAGTCCCATGAGAACATGTAAGGAATAAAACAGACTAAAATGTAATGTTGATAAGGCACAAAGGCGCCTAACAGCTGAGTGGACAGCGCTTTGGATTCGTAGTCCTGAGATTCCGGGTTCGATCCCTGGTGGAGGTGGAGGTGGAGACAAATGGGCAAAATGTTTCTTTCACCCTGATCCCCCTATTACCTAGCAGTAAATAGGTACCTGGGAGTTAGATAGTTGCTACAGGCTGCTTCCTGGGGGTGTGTAACAAAACGAAGGCCTGGTCGAGGACCGGGCCGCAGGGATGCTAAGCCCCAAATCATCTCAAGATAACCTCAAGAAAGAAGGCTTTCTGGGGGGGGGGGAGGGGGGCTGTTATGGCCAATCCTTTAATAACAAGTACCCAGAGTAAGGCAAGGTAATTATGAAGAGAAGGCACTTAGCCATTATGACTATAGCACTTGAAAGGGATAATGAGAAGAAAGATTTAGGATAGGAACAAGGAAAGGAACACTACCCGACCACTTGGAAGGTTGGGATTAACTGCTGACCTGCAAGACCATCGTTCCACTGTCCAGTCCAAGTGGAAAAAGTACCTAAGGAAAATGAAGGTGTTCGAAAAGAAGCCATATACAGATAACATGATTAGATAATGCACATTTAAATCACAATAATGTGATACATCTATGAGAAGCTTTTGGCAGCAACACAGTGGGATCAAACCAACATCCTTGGAAACCCTCTACAGATGCACTCACGGACCATGACATGCTAAGAGTTACACGTCCTAAAGTCCACCCGAACCCACTAGGAATCTGCAGGCATTGAGCTGGTAATCAATCCAAGTTTTACATGTAACCCCCATACACTCTGCTGTAGGTAATGGAGTTCTCCGCTAAATGCTCCAGATTCTTAGTGGATCGAGGTGGACGCTAGGTTGTGTAACCTTTAACACACCGTGGTCCAGGGTACGGTGTGTGTGTCTCGGGTTATCCAGGAGGCTGGTTCCATCTCACCATCCAATTTGTATCTATTATTCAAGATCTTACCTTCTTTCTGTGGGAGTTCCAAACTTGTTGAGCTTATAAACGAGCATGGAGTACAAATCATCAGCAATTGGTAAGGGTATGCCCTCCCAGGCTACAATAGCAATCACAATCCAAGCTGTAGAGCACGTGTGTTTTACTCGGTGCTTCACTATGGCAAGCATCTTTTCCTCTAGTCCACTGCGACGTATAATCTGAAATTATAAATTCTTCATTAAAACTTTTCCATATTCATTTCTAATAAGCGACTTAAATAATTTTCCATATATTGTATAGTATAGGCAATTTCATCTAAAACTGGACAAAATTAATATTATAAATATCAATAACATAATAGACACATCACTTGACAAGTGTTCAGACTGCAAATGTAAATGCCATGGTACACCATTGTTGGGGACAAGAAGCATGTTAGCCAAGGGTGAGGTTGTCAGGATGGTCGCCCAATCAGTTACAGTGCTGGTTATACCCAATGGGGTTAAACCGGTTGAGTGAGCACATTATGTAATGTGCTACACTCTTGACTTAATTCTTATTTCTTTAATGTTCCTCAGTCATAGCCTTAATGGCTTAGTGCTTTCTCCTGATAATTACCTTACCTCGATATGAACCCTCTTCCTATAAATTAGCTATTAAAATGTAAATAAATAGTTCTAAGACTTTTTCAGCCCTTAGTCAAATATTGCAGCACCTATGCTTAAACATTATTAAAATAATTAGCTAGACTCCCCTTTAGACATAACTTTTTCCATGAGCTGGCTGCCAATATTCTGACACAAAACAGTCAGTAGTTTCAAAGCGTTATATGACAAAGAGTATTGGGAAGACGGGACACCACGAGCGTAGCTCTCATCCTGTATCCTGTATTTATCATATTTGTTTTTTATCCTCTTTTTGTTATATCTTAAAATTATTTTTGAGTTCATCTAATTTCCCTTTATGAGAACAATGTAAATCAAAATGGGGGGTGGGGACATTCAACAACCCGCCGGCTTCCTGTCCTCCCTGAGGCCAGTGGCCCTCGGATAAATTCGGGTAAAATCAGTTTGTCTGCTACTTAATCAACTGGGTTTCTACTTATTACATCTGATATTTTTATTCTATTTCACAGAACTCCTTGTTTCCTTAATAATCCAACATGTTGCCACCTTACAGTAATTAAACTATAATAAAGTATTTTGTTAGCTTACCCATTTTGCAAGTGGACACCCAGCATCTGTTTTTCCTTCTTTCCCAGTGTAAATAACCTTCTCAATTCTAACAGCTGACCCTGTATGCCCTGTCTGCTGCTCTATCTTGCTTCTTAACTCTGATAGAGTTGCTCCTGCTCCCAAGTGGCTGTAGATAGGACCAGGGTCTGGGGTACCTGCAATTACCATCATTAAAAATTATCATGATACACTATTACAATCTGACAATGAAACTACAAATTCTATAGAGACTGAGAAAAATACTACGGCTGTACAGTACAGTATATCAATAGAAATACACCTTTTGAAAAATCCTATACCTTAGGCTACTTGATAGCAATAGAGTAGAATGCCTTGATTCACCTCAAACAAAAAACTGCGGAAAATAGAATTACTAAGTTACTTTCTTATACAAAAGATTGTGATGACTTACAGAGTACAAATATATGCATTTTGAAACTACTGTAGTATAAAAATGTGAAAAACCTATCTATGAAACAATACTGTAATTAATAGTTGCAAAACATAACTGAAACATTATCTTAGCTAATATGGTACATGCTGACAGGAAAAACATTTATTTTGGACAGTGCAAAACAAACAATGCAACTCACCTTTTCACTGCAGTTGATAAATATCCATGCAAAAACAGCTGAGATTTGGCACAAGCAAACTAACAATCTATAAGCAGAGATGCAAACAAAATAAATGGTTAAAAGCATAACCAAGCAAGCAGCACAGCATCAAGCACTATACATGAAAGTTGTGTGTAGAAGCGTAACAAATGTTAGGTTAAAATTCCATCACCATTTATCTGACAAAATCATATATTTAATGTACAGTATTATTGAAAAAAAGGACATTATTAATCAGACAAAAGGTAGCATATCTTTAATTTTATATATATATATATATATATATATATTATATATATATATATATATATATATATATATATATATATATATATATATATATATATATATATATATGTCGTACCTAATAGCCAGAACGCACTTCTCAGCTTAATATGCAAGGCCCGATTTGCCTAATAATCCAAGTTTTCCTGAAATATTATATTTTCTCTAATTTTTTTCTTATGAAATGATAAAGCTACCCATTTCGTTGTGCATGAGGTAAATTTTTTTTTATTGGAGTTAAAATTAACGTAGATATATGACCGAACCTAACCAACCCAACCTAACCTAACCTAACCTATCTTTATTGGTTAGGTTAGGGTAGGTAGCCAAAAAAGTTAGGTTAGGTTAGGTTAGGTAGGTTAGGTAGTCGAAAAACAATTAATTCATGAAAACTGGGCTTATTAGGCAAATCGGGCCTTGCATAGTAGGCTGAGAAGTGCGTTCCGGCTATTAGGTACGACATATATATATATATATATATATATATATATATATATATATATATATATATATATATATATATATATATATATATATACAGTATAGTCCATTTAACATTCTTTGTTATACTGTATCACATTCATATGGCCAAGGTAAAATTCCCTGACAATTAGAAATGATCAAACAATATATAGTAGCGTACTTATTTTCTTGTATTGATGTTATAAGTAAACAGATGATGTTCTATGTAACCCGATTTTATTTTTTTCATTACTGTGAACCATAAAACTCAAAATTTTAAGTTTGGTACGTCAATTTCTCGGCGAACAAAATCAACACTACTACACCTATTAACTTGTGAAAAATACCAATACAGTATTTACAAATTTGAAAATGCAACAAAACTCACAAGTTTCTAATTTAAGTTGGTTATATGGAATATTATATATATTTATGTAATGTAATATATAATATGGAACATTATATAAACATAGAGGTTTATATATATCTGTAAAGTTAAATTTAAGCATGACTTATTTTGACAACATTGCAGTAAAGGTGAAGGGACATCCATTGTTTCAAAATATTCACTAACCCAACTCAAGCAATCAACACTAAGAGAGAGAGAGTGCATATGACGCCACGCTTTCTTGCCACCTCCATACTTCCGACCAGCAGGTGATGATGATCCAGTATTTCTCCCACGCATGGCCTAAAAAATAATAATATACCTGACACTTGTTGTGCCATAGGATGCCGCAAAGAGACATCACATACAACCAGGACAACATTTATATTTTCAGTCAGATCGTGACGCCTTGTTAGTGTGGATCAACTCCTGAATTAATTCACACTTAATGTTTGATAATTTATGTGCCGTGAAATTTCTAAGTAAATACCCATCTGTAATCAAAATAAATAACCATCTGTTATTTTTATTTGAGATCAGTCAAAAAATATCAGTGATAAGACATTTATTAACTTTAGCTGATATTCCACTCAACACACCTACACCTTTTCAAATTTTGTTTGTAATTAAAATTAAAAGATTAAAATACCTAATATAGTATGATGTTTAACTATTCGACTGATTTGCATAGTTATGCATGACTGCTGTTGTGATATATACAGTAATATGGAGGTAATAAACTGTCCCTTTTCCTTTAATAGTGCAGAATGTTTAATATTCAATATATAGAGGTCATAAAACAACTTTTCCCGTAAAAATCCTTGTCATTACCAATAATACAGTACACTGTACTTAAACTCTCTCAAAATCACTTTACCTAAATCATATCATTATTGAAATTTATACTGAAAAACATGCATCTAAAGAAATCTACACCCAAATAATCAGGTTATGTTTAACTATGTAAGGTTAAGGTTATGCTTGGCTGTTAGGTTAATTATAGGTTGGGCAGTTATGTTAAGCATGTAACGTATACAATTTTGGGTGACCACATTCAAAGCGTATAGTTGTTTTTTGTGTTTATTTAATATAGTCTTTGGTTACAGCAGTCGGATGTTGGAAATGTAATGACTGTGTTGTGATAGCTGAGACAAGGATGCTTGTGTGAAGCCAGTGGGTAGAGAGCTCCCGAGCGCAGAGCTCAAAAGCAGGCGAGAGCGCAGAGCTCAAAAGCGGGCCAGAGCGTAGAGCGGGATAAGTTGTCTGCTCTGTAGCGAGCCTGTAGCATCATGTGAGAGAGATAGAACCAGACTTTTTGAATGTTTCATCGTTGCTGCTGAATGTCGATGGTGTTGGAAAAGATCCACAGTACTATACCCAGAGGGATTGTCACTGAACTATTGGAGTTAGACTGACGATGCAACGTTGTAGTTGTTTCACATTCAGCTACTCGCAACAAAAAAGTTCCAAGTAGCACGGGCTATGGCGAGCCCAAAGTGGACTTACCTGGCACAGGAGTGGGGCTGTAACTCTGGAGCTCACAATGTTCTTGATAGCTTATATTCCATGATTCAACTTACTTGGCAAGTTTATCATCAATCTGCATGATGGGAAACTCGATGATCACCATTGATTTTCCTAAGTGAATCATGGAATGTTGGAATTAGTTGTAATTAGAACCCAATAGTGTAATTACAAATGCCATTAATTGTTAGTGAACATGACTGCAAGTCATTAGTGATTAGTTGCTGACACATTAGTTAATGTGGTATGCTACAAGCAAAATTAAATTTAGTTAGATTTGGCAGGTCAGTTACCATCTTTGTGTCACTATTTAGATATGCTTCACTTCTACTGCATTAATTTTTATTCGATATTTATTTATTTAATGATTTTTTATATATACAAGAGTTCTTACATTCTTATACAGCCACTAGCACGCATAGCATTTTGGGCAAGTCCTTAATCCTATGTTCCCTGGAATATGACCCCCGCAAAAGTCGTTTAACAACTAAGTACCCATTTTACTGTTGGATGAACAGAGGCTACAGTTAAGGATTGACACCCAGTATAAGTCCTCCACGGCCAGGATACAAACCAAGGACAAAGCGCTCGTGAAACGTCATGCCACTACACCACGGGAATTGCTTAGTCCCTGTAATTATAATATGAAATGTAATGTTCCCAAAGTTTTTCAACAAGCATAAGATGACTGAAATAAGATGTCATCCTTGATTACCAATTTAACATTTCCTCGTGTGAAGGACAGATGTAAGGTTTAACAAATTTCTGGTTGCTCATAATATCAAACGTTTCATTGTTATGTACACAAGCTAGTAATTATCCAAAGAAAGTGTAAACTATGATGACCATATAGCAGTGGGTTTTGTACAGTATCTGAAGCTATTGCACGAATTAGCCTGAAGCTGTTGTTGATCTCAAACCAAATCGTATGCAAAGTTGCTGTTCCCCAATTGTCTAATAGATCTTAATAGGTATCATTGAGGTCATATCGTCCCCTGATAACAAGGTATTAAGTGGCAATACAATTAGATGGGGGTTATTCCATTTATGCCCCCCCCTCCAGCCAACACACACACACACACACACACACACACACACACACACACACACACACACACACACACACACACACACACACACACACACACACACAATTTCAGCATTTTCATTGCTTCTTCCTGCAGGTAAAATACAATACAAATCAGGTAATACATGTATTTACAAATCAAACCCAAAATCAACCATATATAACATTATCCTATGTAATCTTTTCCATAAACATTGTAGTTTTTGCATGGAAACAGTTAGTGTATTCACAGAGCTTTTTTTTTATGGACTTGACAAATCCGTTAAAATTGTGATATTTTTAGTAAAATTAAAGCACAGTAGCATTACCATTTTTTATGGATCGACCTCAATAGGTTGGTTGAGTTACTTTCATTTGTACATTTCTTGTTAGGCAAAACAGCTGCATGTTTGCAGAGACACAAATAGAGAGAACTGTATTCACCTAGTTGTGCTTACGGGGGTTGCGCTCTGCTCTTTCAGCCGACCTCTCAACTGTCAATCAACTGTTACTAACTACTATTTTTTTCCCCACACCACACACACCCCAGGAAGCAGCCCGGGACAGCTGACTAACTCCCAGGTACCTATTTACTGCTAGGTAACAGGGACATCAGGGTGAAAGAAACTCTGCCCATTGTTTCTCGCCAGCGCTCGGAATCGAACCCGGGACCACAGGATCACGCGTCCTGTCCGCTCAGCCACCGGCCCCCGTGTGGAATAATTATGGATCATACCTGTACCGTTCACGTGACCACCACCCAAAAATAAGAAAAAATAATCAGATTACCGAAGTCAATGTTTGGTCAGATTTTTA